GGGAGGGGGGGGGGGACCGATAGAAAGACGCGGAGGAAGCTTACTAGAACTGGGGCAGGAGGGAAGAGAATTAGTTAGGGGAGAGCAAATCGTCTGTATATATGATGGTGGTGATTATCGCGCTAAATTTAATCAACTTGCTCGCTCGAGTAGGGGCGGAGGGGAAAGGAGGGCACGGGGGGGAGGCAGGGGAAGGGGGGAGAGAGTAAAAAGCCAGCCGTTGAAACTGCGAGCGAATCTCGTTGTGTGTGCGTGTCGGAGAGTGTGTCCGCAGCCTAGCGTTAGTTAAGCGTATCATCCGCGAAGGCATTCGAGAGGAACGGTGAAGCTATAGGGAGAAGAGAGCTTGTGCGTATATATAACTCACGTGTGTGTGTATTCTCGGGTGTACAGATTAAAGAGAGGAGCGAAGACGACGACCGGATATATATCGCACGGGACGCGTACGCGTACGCGCGTACGCGTGCGGGACACTTCCGCACACGCCAGCACGCGCACCGCGATGACCACACACGTAAACCGGGATGTCCCCGCGTACGTATCGCGCGTATTATTCCCCCACGGACTTCTCACGGGTCCGTCGTCGGGACCGCGACAGGCCCGGGGACATCCCGTACGGACGTACAGACACGCGCACCGTTCACACGACGGCCGATAGGGAGTTTATTTTTTATGGCGAACTAGTAGAGGAGCTTTAGGGGAGAAGAGAGAGCTTGCACCTCGGAGATCACGAAGCCGATACGACAAATACTTATACCGCGACCGTCCTTTAGATCAACCGGGGGAGGGGGGGGGGAGAGGTAGAGCAGCTTAGGCGAGAGATCAGTAGTGCGCAATCGATCGATATCGGGAGCACACGAGCCGCGCGATAATAACTATCGGGCCGAATTGCCGGTTTATTCTAACGATTGTTACCTGTTCGGTGATAATTATTATTCTCGAGATTAAGCGAGCGCTCAGTAAATAATTGCCGTTAGACGTGCATGGTAGCACGACGAGTTGCAGCTGACGCAGCGCGGGCCATCGCAATCCTCTTTCCGATCGCTGCTGTTGAAAAAGTAGATGCATGTCGCGAGAGAGAGGTGTGTTCGTACAGAAAAAAAAAATCGTTGTTACCAAGACTATCAGACGCGTATGATTTAAGAGTTCCACGCATATCCACACATACACACATACATACACAGAGACACACATACATACGTCATGGACTGCACCTCGCGTTAGCGACCGCCGCTGCCGTAGAACTTAGTGAGCTGCAAACGATCCAGGTCGAGGAGGGGGAGAGGGAGGAGGCACGTTCTTGCGATGACACTTAACCCTCCGAGTGGCAACCGAGGTCAATTGTAAGAAGTGCTCGTTTTCTCAAAATAAAATCATTAAAAATAAAATACTTTGCGATTTATTGTTGACAAAAACAGCTACGTGGTCTTCGAGTAGAAGGGGAAAGGAAGTTCTGATAATTTTTGGAGATTCTTCGGAGCGGTTCAAGGTGGAGAAAAATCGAGGAAGACACGAACGAAGACCTTGGTTGCCGGCACCGAAGGTGTGAAGTGAGAAGATACGTTGCCTCTCGGAAGGCTTAAAATTCGACCACGCATCATCACGCGCGAATCACGCGATAATAATAATACGTATACCTTACAATTAACACCGCGCGCGCGCGCACTGATAACGATTATGCACGAGGGGGACTCGCCGCTGTTGCTGACTTGAAAACGGAACACCGCGATCGGACGAAATACGTGCTCTCTACACGCGGAATTATACTCTGTGGCGGAAAGAGATGGCAAAATTTACCTAGTAGCTCCGAGAGTTAATAAAACCATTTCGCCCGAGTTCATCGGGGAGGAAATTATCTCTCTCCGTAATGAAGAGTCTAAGCGTCGCTCGTTAAAGATCCTACCCGGGAAGAAGCGTGAGAGATACAAGCGCGATCGGGCTGAAAATAGCATCGCTGAAATTGCATGCATCCTGTTTACCTCGTCGAGAGAGAGGAATCCTTTCCCATGCTGTGAGAGAGCACGATCCTCGTCGTCCGGCGAGGACGGTCACGTTGTACGAGCCATCGTCGTTGCGAGAGATACAAAGTTGTGCGGGACCCAGAACGAAGATATTTCTATGTAGCGTTTTAAGTAAAAGAACAACAAAAAAATGGAGAGAGAGAGAAGCGCGCAGTAAAGGAAGAGAGGCGAGATTTAGTAGAACGTTGCGAGAGAGTGTGCGTGAAAGGGTGAGTATGCGTGAATATGCTGCTGGTCGGGGAAGGCAGTTATTATTATTATTATTATTATTATTATTATTATTATTATTATTATCGTCATCACACACATCGTCTATATTATTTTGACAGGCCCGTCCTAGGGAGGCCTGTATATAATAATTAATAATAATAATAATGATATTAACAATTATTAATATGCATGAGTACGCTGCTGGTCGAAGAGGGCGAGCATTATAATCATTATTTTAATTATTATTACTGTTATTATCATCATTATGCCGAGTGCCGGCCCCGTGTGCGCCCGACACTCATGGAAGGGTAAAATCTACGATGAAACCCTGCAATATGGTGATTAAACATTTTCAGTGCTTAAGATTATCCCGGCTTGTCGGAACTGTGCGAATTCCCTGATTAAATAAATGCAAAAGATAATGCGAGCCCTTGTTTACGTAAGGCTTTTAACGTAATAATAATAGCAATAATTGTAATCATAATATTATAAATATTGCTATTATTTTACATTATACGGTTATACAGTTATTTTGTACATAATAATAAATAGATGATTATAATTACGTCCTCTCCCCGACCAACATCATACTCATGCATATTCACATTATCATTATTATTATCGTTATTATTAGTATCGTCCTTATTATAATTCACATTGTTATTATTATTATGTAAATAGTTTATCGCGATATCTCTGTCTCATTTATCGTCGTTATACTCACTCTCTTTCGTTTCATAATCGCGAAATTGAGATCTACGTGGCGCGAGAACGAGCGAACGAGCGAATTCAACGGATTACGCGCATGCGTCACGCAATTGTGCGTTCGATTCTGTCGTAGTACAATGAATTTGGGAAGAGAGACTCGCCGGCGACATCGCGAGTCTGCGAAAACACCGATTCGAAAGAGAATACGGCAAAGGTTTGTCCCGCGAAACTAACTTGCTCGTTTTCGAAATCAGAACTGAACTTATCATTGTTTGACAACAGGGATTCTAATTCAACAAAGATCTAAATCAAAATTTCCGCACCAGTGTTTATTCTCGTCTGAAGATCTGAATCTCGTCTTTTATTAAGACACGAGATCGAAACAAATCGCGATGCTTATCGCACCATCGATCAACGATCTCGAAGATTGGAAGTGGAATCTCGCGGAGCGAATTTCTGCCTGTCTCTTTTCGATTCATCCGTATTTGTTTTTCTTTTTTCTTTCTTTTGAGGTAGGACAGTGTCGAGAAGCGGGCGAGAGAAATTAATAAGTGGTGTGGATGTAAATACGATATACACGTGTAGAGAGTAAGGCCGAAGCTATGGAGTTCGACGGGCACACTCACGCACATCTGTCATGCGGAAGTTGCTCAAGTTTCACAGTGGTCCTTCTCAATCCGAATGACCCGGCCGGTCGCGCTAAAACAGATCGGTTATTTTGGCATTTCGTCTACTTTTCACACGAGCGAAAAAAATTCTATTCGCGCTGTTCAAGAGTTACATAGATTTTTTTACGATTATACAGTAAATCGTTACAGAAACGTCGTTGAAATACTCAAGAAATTCTCCTTGCTGAAGAATCTGCGATTCGCCGAAATAATCCAGTCCACCTCGAGGAACTTAACCCTCGGACCACTCGAGCGAGAAGACCCGTCGTGAAGCTTCACGAACTTCCGCGCTCCATTCACAACGACACATGTACGAACATCGTTGCACCACACCGGGTACGTGCTGATGCACAATCACGTACATTTACACGGACAAACACGCTCCCACGTAGATGATATCAGCCTCGTGTGTGTGTGCACCGCACACGGATACGGATGAGAGACGAACATGCATACACACTCACAAATTGCGCATAGCTTAACTGTCTCTTTATATAGGTGTTGACACGTCGTCACGGGAGGAGTAATCTCGAATCGAGGGGATGGATCAGGGTGGCGGGGGAGGGCCGGGGG